TGCTCTCTTCTGCTTCTTCTGTGTTGGGATGTTCATGTCTTGCTGCTGTAGAGTCCCTAGACTCTGGTGGTGTCATATTGGTTTTCCTGTTGTTGGATGTGTTTCTATATTTCATCTTCCCATCACTTCTTCCAGTGGGTACAGTTCGTGTCACTTCCTTTCCTGGTGTGTATGGGTGTGGTGTTCTCTTCAGGTGTGTGCAATTGACTTTGATACTCTGATGGGTCTCAAGTTGGGTGTAGGCAGGTTTGAGGCACTCATTCTTCAGGTGGGTGAGAGCAGCACTGGGGCAAAGATGTCAGGAGACTCTGGGTTGCTTGGTCCTCAGGGGTCAAGTCGTCCTGTCTACAGACCCTTGGGCAGGAGGTCCCTGAGTGGGCAGGCAGAAGTTGGGCCCAATGCAGGGGCTGAAGCAGCTCCACTCTGCACTCTCTGCACTCTGTGGGGGCCAGAATAGCCCAGCGATCTCGGCAGAATCAGGATTCCAGGGTCCTCAGGGACGGATTCAGTCTGCCTGCAGATTCCGGGGTGGGATTTGCCAGGGTGGACAGGCGGAAGTTGCGCCCATAGTAGGGGCCAAAGCAGCTCACCTCTGCACTCTGTGGGGGCCAGAATAGCCCAGCCTACACTGGGTCTTTAATCCCACATATGTCTATGTTTTTTCAAAATCTCAATTTACTTGTTGATTTCTTCTTTCATGTTGACATTTTGACCAATATTTCTGGTTGACTCATTCATTTTAAGACTATTTTTCTCTGTGTTACTGACTACTCTTTATTCTAAGATTGAATTAATCTGTTAGTTTACATCACCCTTTGGATCACTGGTCATTTTTGTTCAAAATGCTTTGAAATCTTCATCTGACATTTTTCTCATTTCAAGACACCCTAAGTTTACTAACTGAGGAGTTATCATCCTTTGAAAGGTCATCTTGATTTGAGTTTTCTTGGTTCTGGAATTTCTAGATCAATATTTGTACATCTATTTGTTTGGATTTCTCTTCAAGATTTATGGGGAGGATGCTCTGATTGAGAATCTTACTCCTAAATGCTCAATTTCTAGTGTTACTCAGGAAGGGGGAAATAAAATACTCTACTAGTAACAAAACCAATCCATGCAGGATATAGTAATGCACTTAAAATGAAATACAGATCACTAATGCATTACCTATGACCATAAAGTAAAAAATAACAAAACTTGTGCAGAGTATTCTGTGAAATTAAAAATTGTTAACGCTGAGATGGAAAGATAGTTCAGTGGCTAAGGGCATGGATTACTTACTTCTATAATTGAAAATAATTTTTCATCTATCTCTGTGAGTTCAAAACCAGCCAGATTTACAAAACCTAGTTCCAGGTTCCTCCAAAGCCCACAGAGAAGCCCTGTCTTTAACCACCCCCCAATGATAATAATTATTAATGCCATATAATCTGATCATGGTTTCTTCTCCCCCAAATCTTGCCAGATCTACCTTGATTACTCACCATCCATCCAAACCTATACCATCTCTCTCTCTCTCTCTCTCTCTCTCTCTCTCTCTCTCTCTCTGTCTCTCTCTCATTTGAATATAAACAGAATATGAAAATTAATGATTACATAAGAAAAAAGGACAAAGTAATCTACCAGTAGAAAAGGGTCCAAAGAAAAAACACAAGAAACACATATAAACAAAGGGAAACACACATTAGAACACATAGAAGTCCCATAAAAATACAACTTCAGAAACAATAATACATTTGCAAAATACCTGTGAGGAAAAAACTGGCAAAAAGGAAAACAATGAGTTATAATCAAGGAACCTCCATTAATGCAATTGAGTGCAGTTTGTGTTTTTAATCTACCGTTGGGAACATGGTCTGTCCTTAAGGATAGTTTGTAGACCCAGTGACATTCATTTGGAGAAAAATAATTTTTCCTTTGTGAGTGGTTATCAATTAGACGCAGCTTCTTTCTTAGAGTTGGGTTCTTGTGCCCACTTCTCCATTCCACTCTGACCACCCCCGATTGGGCATGGTCAGCAACACCTGTTGCCAGCCCCAAGTGAGCATAGTCAGCATTACCTCTAAACAAGATTCCCCTACACCTCTCCCCTCCACTTCTCCCCTTCTCTTTTTTCTAGCTCCCTCCCCACCATACTCCCAATTATCTCAGAAAATCTTGTCCCTTTCCCCTTCTCCTGGGGACCACGCATTCCTCTCTTAGGGTCCTCCTTGTCTTCTAGCTTCTCTGGTGCACACCTGAGATTCTTTTTGTTGTAAATGTATATTAAAAGGGATGAATGTAGGTTTAGATCCCAGAAGATAACTGGAACCATAACATATGAAATAAACAGGTATGAAGAAGATAAGAGTTCCTTGTGACATGAAAAATTATAGAGATTTGACTATTTTAGGTAGACACAGAAAACTAACTGTTGGAATTTGAGATAAGGAAGAAGAACAGGGATTATAGGAACCACCAAGACAAGAATGTGTGGACATGACACTCTGAAACCAGTTAGTTTAGTTCAAATAAATGTCTCTTTTAGAAAGAGCAAATGACATTGGAGAATCATTGACATTTTTTGACTTTTTAAATTTAAATTCATTAATTACTACTCATATTTACATATCCATCCCCCACAATCCCTCACCCTCTCATCATCCCATGTTCCCCACCAACCCTCCCAACCCATCACCCAACTCATCCCTAGGGATAGTGAGGCCCTCCACAGGGGACCTTCAAAACCTATCATATCAGTTTGGAGAGGGCCTAGGGCCTCCTTGCTGTATCTGGTCTGCAATAGTATCCCTCCATAGGGAAATGGCTCCCAAAGTCCATTTCTGCTCTAGGGATAAAGACTGGCTCCACTGTTAGAGGTCCCATAGACTGTCTTGGCCTCCTAGCTGGCATCCACATTCAGAGGGCTTGCTTTGGTCCAAAGCTGTTTCCCCAGCTTTATGACTAGGGTCTCTATGCTCTTACTAGGTCAGGTCAGATGTTTCTGTGGGTTTCTGCAGCTTGCCCCAACTTCCCTCATTGACATTTTTATTGACATTTTTTATGTTGTCACCTATAACATAATTTCATGAAGAAATAAAACTCAGATTAGGTTTCTGATGTTTTCTATTTATCATGTATATATTGTTCATAATATATTATTTCAATGTCTCATTTATCTCTAATTTTTCTACTTCTAAGAAGCATATAAATTTGACCTACAATACAGAAATATCAACTGTTAAGAAACTAATAAGATAAGCAGATCCAGGGGCTGAAGAGATGGCTCAGTGGCTAAGAGCACTAGCTGGTTGGCTTCCAAGAGGTTCTGAGTTCATGGTGGCTCACAACCATCTGCCATGATATCTGGTGTCCTCTTCTGGCCTGCAAACATATATACAGGCAAAACCCTGTATACTTAATAAATAAATAAATAAAAATTTAAAAAAGATAAGCAGATCTGAAGCAAATAGCAACAGAGATACACACACAAAATGACACTGAACTACAAAGAATACCAGAAACCTATGTATTTCCTACAAATTTTTCCCAGGACATCAAATTAAAATTGAAATCAAATCATTACACTTCTCCATGAAACAGAAAAGACAATAAGGCAGACAGAGTTGGACATTACTTTATATTGACTTGAGAGATTGTCTTTAATGTCTTATTTTATTTGTATTTTGTTCAGGTTAAAAGCTTGAAGAGCTGCTTGCACTTCAGGGAAAACAGGTAAGTGATCACATTGGTTATGTTGTCCATTTTATTTTCTCAGATTCTTTATGTCATATACTCAGAGATGGAGATCAGTGGCCACATGAGAATTCTTGTAATGAGGTCTCTCATTACATATTGTGAAGTGTCTCATATTCTCTTTCAGCAAATATCATTTTCATTATTTTTCTTTGGTAAAAGTTTCTGGATTTATGAGACACTATTTGTGTAATAATAGAAAATCTATTGACATGAAAAACAAACATCTACTAAAGCTTTCATCTTTCTAAGCAGAAAACAACTCACTTGTGTGTAGAAAGCCGTTATAAATTCAGTGTTCAGTGCCAATGTGAGGTTTTCAGAATTGGAGCTTGGAGTATCAATGCTAAAGACTTTTAAGATCCCTATCTCATTCATATCTAGCATGGTGACATCAATACTCTATTTATTCACAACAGGCTTCCTTATCCTTAGTGCTATAAATGAGGACCATCACTGTACAATGTGAAGGTCCCAGAAGCATTAATAAATAGGCTTTGGTGGAGTTATACATCCTTAGAAATGAATTTTCAAACTAGATCCATCGTGGTTTTAGCTCATTTGTAATAGGATACCACATTAGAAGTTCTCTATATTTGTTTCTTAACCATGTTTTAAAGGACTTCCCTTCCTATTAAAGAGATAATGCACTTATGAAGATATGACACCAGACTAGGTGCTCATCCACAGATGTCCCCTTGATGCATACACATATTAAAGCATGTGTGAGGGCAGTTTAACCCTGAAAATAAAACTGGAACCATAAAGGAGGAAATATAAAGGGCCATAGGATACATCAACATATGTTTCAGAAAGTGGGCAGATTACTAACAGTTGAAGCCTGAAATGAAACATATAACTAGGCATATTGATGTAAGAAAGATACAGGGAAAGGAGGAACTATGAAAACACAGTACTCATGAATATCTCATCATGTAACTTCCAACTTTGTATGCTAATTGAAAGTCGCTTTTAGAAAGAATGCATAATATTTTCTAATCAATTATTATTTTTATTTTATATAAATAAAGAATATTTTATAACAACTCAGTCATCTCTGATGACTATTTCAAATTTTCTATATTTCTACTGCCAGACTTATCTATAATTTGCCTTGAGCAACCTGTGACAACCAGTTACAATGTACAGTTACAATAAACAGAGTCTACTGGACAATTGCTTTTTCTTTCACATCACAGAAGACATGTTTGCCCAGACTTTTCCTGGCTATGGAGATGCTCATCTGCTGGTAGAGAGCTTGTCTGGGATAGATGATGAGTACAAGTGTCTGAGGATGCTAAGCAATTCATACAATTATCAATCTGAGGTTCAAATCCCCACTTATAAGACAAGTGAGGTTTTCAGAGCCAGAGTAAACTATTTTGGCTTAGATGATGACATGCAGGAGTGCAGGCCTAATTTAGGATCCTAGATTTTGAGGAAATAGCTAACTTTAAAGTATCCAAATGTGACCCAAGAATTACTTCATTTCTTTTACCCCGAATAGTGTTGTAGTTATTTGACTAGAAGAGACATAAACTCAGAGTCTGAGATCAATATAATATATTATACATATTATAAAGTCTATCTTTTGAAAGGTGTTTCTTTCTTCCTTCAGCAAACATAATTTTAACTTTTCCCCTATATTCAAGTCTCTGGAATTCTAGGACACATATTGTTAGATAATTGACATAAACTAGTGACATTGAAACCAGGTATTTATGAAGCCCTGCTTCTGGCTGATGACAAAACAACAAATTGGTTATTAATATGCAGTTACAAATTAAGTATCCAGCTATAAAAGAAGGTTTACTCTTCAGCTATGGAGTTCAGAAATTAACATTAAGGTCTTACCCTGTTTCATTCAATTTTATCATCTCAACACTAATTTCTATTTCTTCCTTGCTACAACCCATGTCAAACTGCTTAGAACTAGACAGAGGGTAGACCTCTTGGATTAAGCACATGGGCTTTGGGTGCTATTGGAATTTCTTAGTTATTATTTTCAGATTGAATCTGCTATATATTAGCTATTTTGTAATCAGTATACCATGCTACTGCTTTCTCATCATTTCCATGGAATATTTTGAGATCTTCTAACCTAAAACAGAAGTATTGCAATTAATATTTCTTGTTACACTATTCACAGTACCAAAGATCTGGCACCAGACTAGATGTCTATCCACAGGCAACTGTTGGAACAAAATATTTTATATGTAAGTCTTTGTTAATAATTAAGCCATAAATTTTGAAATAATGAAATATCAACAAAATTTATTCAAAGCTGATGATACTCGGGGAAGCAATATAGTACTTAAAAACAAAAAGATATGTGCCATTTCTTATTAGCACATATGAGCTTCCTCCTGATATGTAATTGTATTAATATAGAGCCTGGTGGTTGAGATTCTGAAAGTAGTATAGGAACCATGAGAGAGAAAGTAGATGAGCAGTATGATAGAATAATATATGTTTTCCAAAATAAGAAGAGTAATGACTACTGCATGCTGAAATGTGAAATTTCCACTCATCTGAATCAGAAGAGATCCTCTGTATTTTGAATACTTTGAAATTAGCAAGCCATTTTACAGTTTTCCTGTAATTATTTCCTGATAATTAAAAATTTGTTTCCTATAACCGACTTAAGAAATCCATCATACATATGCCAATCTACACAATATCAAGGCCATGGTACAAGCTATATATTCATCCTTAAACAAATTAAGAAAATTGCACTTATGAAGCCATACTCCTCTAAATATATAATTTCAGAAGAACAAATTAATATGGAATATACAGAAGCAGGTAATCCTGACTCAAAAGTAAAAACAACAAATCTGGTCTCTATCCATTTATTTAAGTGTGTTGATATAGGGTTGCCTATGGTTTTTGTCCTAAAAGCAAAACAGGAGCCATGAGGAAAAATACAAGCAGAGAATACATGTTTCAGAAAGTAAAGCATGTATTAATGATTGCAAGAAGAAACAGCAAAGGAAAACTGGGCTTGGAGATGAGGGAGAGGAAGAGGAAGTGGAAGATTCACCCACACATGGTATTATTGAATGTGATCTCATTATGCCCTAACATAGGATGCTGACTAAAATATCTTTTATAAAGCACCCAAAACATTTGACAATAGTTTCACTTCACATTATGGAAAACAGATTTTAGGACAGGCAATCATTTCTGAGGAAGTTTTCATATTTTTGATTAATAGTAATGCTCTCCTAGTACAGTATTTTGACATCTTATTCTGATTTGTACTAACAAACAAATGACAGCTTATTCACTCTGACTGACTTAGTGCCTCTGTTCAGAAACAGAGAAACATGCCTTCTGCAAAATCATCTTCTTTTTCAAAGTGAAGCAGACAGGCTTTCCAAGATTTTGCCTGGCTATGAAAATATTCATGTGTTGAGAGAAGTCTTGGTTGGATTGATATTGACAAAAACTGTCTGAGGATGGTGAATGACTCATACAAATAGCACTGTGAGGTCCAGATATAGGATATTCTGGTAAGATCAATGAAGTTTTCAGTGACTGGCTCTCACTCTTCAGTTTTCACCAATGACATGTAACAGTGTAGGCTAGCTGTAGTATCCTAGTTGTTGAGAAATGGGCATCTTTACTATGTCCCAGATTTGCCCTAATACTTGCTTTGTTTCTTTCACTCTAAGAATCACTGTAATTAATAGTACAGTATAGTTTGATAAGCAGATAACAGAAATAAAAAATGTTGAAATTATGGAATCAAAAGAGGTGTAATCAGTGGACAAGTGCACTTACATGCCCACTAGCACAGTCAACAGAATATGGCTTTGCATTAACTAAATTGCAAGGAACAGGTAGCAGGGCACACTGCCTTTGTAGTGAGTATTTTCAAGGATTGTGAATTCCCTTTTTTCTTTTTCTATAATTTTCATCAATGTTTGGCTAGTGAGTGTGGTGTCAGGTGCCTTTCTTCTATTTTAATTGACAGTGGATTTTTTGAGATTCTGGGAAGCAAGAGTGTCAGTGTATGCTAATGGAATTGGATTGTCCATGGTAACTAACCAGAAATCATTTCATAATCTCCTGAAATAATCAAAACTTTGCTAGCATCATAATTTCTTCTTCATATATTTTCAGTTATGATCATTGTCATTAAAGCTATGCCAATATTGAACCTTTATGTGTGAAGAAGAATGTCCTTCATGTTCATTGAATTATGTGTTATTCACTGTTTTCAATCAACTTTCTCTGGTCAAAACCAGAAACCACAACCTACTTCAAACCGTCTCCTGAATCTGATCCACAACTTAAGAAAATTAACTGCTGAATAAAATTGAGTAAGCAGATGCATAAGGACCATATCTAACAAAGCAAACACAAATGATTCTCAACTAAGGAAATTACAGGATAATGTATATTTACTTCAGAATATTCCCAGATCATCAAGATTCAATTGAAATCAACATGTCATATTTTTTCCAAATGAGTGAAGAAGGCTTTAAGATTCTTGTTATGAAACATAGAATGAATGTAAATGCAAAGCAAAGATGATGCAAGAGAAAAAGAAAAAATATACTTTGTCACAGATGAGTATTGGTATACAACATTATCAGTAAGAAATTGTCAAGAAATCCAAGAAATTAAAGAGAACAACTGGCTTATAGCTCATTTTGTAACAAAATACTACACTCCAAAAAAGCCCATTTGTGTACTAGGGGTAAATACTGGTTCCACTGCCAGCAGCCCCATAGACTTCCCAAGTTCCCCAACAGACAGACACGTTCAGGGGCCTAGTACAGTCTTATGAAGGTTCCAAAGCTGTAAGTCTGGAGTCTCTGAGATCCCACTTACTCAGGTCAGCTGTTTCTGTTTTCGTCAACATGGTCTTGACCCTTTTGATTATCACTCCTCCCTGCCTATATTTTGACTCCAAGAATTTGGCTTAGTGCTTAGCTGTGAAACTCCGCTTCTTCTTCCATCAGCTACTGTATGAAGACTCTATATTTGCATTTAAGTTAGTCATCAATCTGATTATAGGGGAAGGGCATTCAAGGTACCCTCTCAACTATTGCTTAGATTCTTAGTTGGAATCATCCTTATGGACTCCTGGGCATCTCCCTGGTTCCAGGTTTCTCATTAACCCTATAAGGTATCTCATTCTTTGCTCTCCTTCTCTACCCTTACCCCAACTTCACCTTCCTGATCCCTTGTGTTCTCCTCCACCCTCCCATTCTCCCCTCCCCCATGCTCACAATTATTCAGGAGAACTCTCTTAGGGTCCTCTTTGATTCTTAGCTTCTCTGGGGTTGTGAATTATAAGATGGTCATCCTTTGCTCTATGTCTAATATCCACTTATGAGTGAGTATATAACATATTTGTCTTTCTGTGTCTGGGCTACGTCATGGAGGATGGTTTCTTCTAATTCCATCTACTTTTGTATGAATTTCAAGACTTCATTGTTTTTTATTTTTTACCAATGAGTAGTACTCCATTTTGTATATGTACCACATCTTTCTTATCCATTCTTTGGCTGAGATTGCTTCCAGGTTCTGGCTATTACAAATAATGCTGCTATGAACATAGTTGAACAGATGTTTTTGTTGTATGAGTGTGCCTTCTTTGGGTATATGCTCATTGTGGTAGATTGGTTCCCCCTTTCCTGAGAAACTGCCATACTGATATCCAAAATGTCTGTACAAGTTTGCATTCCCACCAGCAATGGAAGAGTGTTCCCATTATGCCATACCCTCTCCAGCATAAGCTTTCATTAGTGTTTTTTTTATTTTAGACAATTTGACAGGTGTAAGATTGTATCTCTGAATTTCTTTGATTTGCATTTCCCTGATGGCTAAGGATGTTGAGCAATTCCTTAACTACCTTTCAGCCATTTCAGATTCCTCTGTTGAGAATTCTCTATTTGGATCCATACCTCATTTTTAAATTATATTGTTTGCCTTTTGATATTTAATTTCTTGAGTTCTTTGGATATTTTGGAGATGAGCCCTCTGTCAGGTGTGGTGTTGGTGAAGATATTTTCCCATTCTGTAGCCCGCCATTTTGTTTTGTTGACTATGCCCTTTGCCTTGTAAAAACCTCTCAGTTTCAGGAGGTTGTATTTATTAATTATTGATCTCAGTGTCTGTGATACTGGTGTTATTATTTTCAGGAAGTGGTCTCCTGTGCCAATGTATTCAAGAGTACTTCCCTCTTACTTTTCTATTACGTTCAGATTTATGTTGAGGTCTTTGATCCATTTGGACTTACATTTTGTGCAGGGAGATAAATATGGATCTATTTGCAACCTTCTACATTAACAAATGGTGTTTCAGCACCATTTTTAAAGATGCTTTGTTTTTTCCATTGTATAATTTTATCTTTTTGTCAAAAATTAGGTGTTCAAAGATGTGTATCTGAATATCAGGATCATTGATTCAATTCCATTTGTCCACCTGTCCATTTCTGTGCCCAAACCAAGCTGTTTTCATTACTATAACTCTATTGAAGAGCTTGAAATCAGGGATGGTAATGCCTCCAGAAGTTCCTTTATTGTACAGGATTTTTTGGCTATCCTGGGATTTTGTTTTTCTACTATAAAGTTGAGTATTGTTCTTTCAATTTCTGTGAAGAATTGTGCTGGGATTTTGATGGAGGATGTATTCTATCTGTATCTGTAGATTGTTTTGGTAAGATTGCCATTTTTTCTATGTTAATCCTACCTATTCAATATTATGGGAGATCTTTCCATTTTTTGATATCTTCTTTTATTTCTTTCTTTAAAGATTTAAAGATCTTGTCATACAGATCTTCCTCATGTTTGGTTAGAGTTACACAAAATATTTCATTTTGTTTGTGGCTATTTTTAAGGGTCATGTTTCTCTGATTTCAATTTTTTTAAATAGGTTTTTTTTATTATTGTTAGAAACAAGCTTCAATCAGTGGTTTCTCTGATTTCTTTCTCCATCCATTTATTATTTACATAAAGGAAGGCTACTGGTATATGTTTTTGGTTTTTTCGAGGCAGGGTTTCTCTGTGTAGCTTTGGAGCCTATTCTGGCACTTGCTCTGGAGACCATGCTGACCTCGACCTCACAGAGATCTGCCTGCCTCTGCCTCCCAAGTTCTGGGATTAAAGGCGTGTGCCACCAATGTCTGGCTGGCTGCTGATATTTTTTATTATTTTATTAGTTCTAGTTAGGGAACAAGCTTATTTCAAGTCCCTTCTCC